AGTAGTGTCTCATGTATGTCGTTAACAGATACTAGCAAAGTTCTTCCAATTCCCAGAAAATTTTAATATGTAAATTAATAAGTAGTGTCTCATGTATGTCGTTAACAGATACTAGCAAAGTTCTTCCAATTCCCAGAAAATTTTAATATGTAAATTAATAAGTAGTGTCTCATGTATGTCGTTAACAGATACTAGCAAAGTTCTTCCAATTCCCAGAAAATTTTATTAATGTGTAAATTAGTAAGTAGTGTTTCATGTATGTTGTTAACAAATACTTGCAAAGTTCTTTCAATTCCCAGAAAATTTTATTAATGTGTAAATTAGTAAGTAGTGTTTCATGTATGTTGTTAACAAATACTAGCAAAGTTCTTCCAATTCCCAGAAACTTTAACGTGTGATTAAGTAAGCTGTATTTCATGTGTAACAGTAATAAATATTTTCAGTTACCAGAAAGTGTAACATGTTGGTTTTATTAAGTGGTTTTTTGTGTATGACAGTAATAAATGCAGCATTATAGAAGAAAATACACCTTAGTGTTCTGTTTGATCAGTTTATTTAGCCATCCAAGCAGGGATCAAAATATTATATTCCCACATTCCCGAGGAATTTAACTTTGCTTGAGGAATTTCATATTTTTAGTTGGCTTTCCCCATCGAGAATGCATGGTCCATCTATTTTCCTTTTGTTATGACCAATTAAAATGAACATATTACATGGATTAAATAAAAAAAACAGTTCTAGAGGAAATACAACTTTATATGATGGAATGTAATCTTCCTGATAGCTTTCCCTCGATTGAATATACTTTTATTTCATTATTTCTAATCTTGCTAAATAGTGTGGTGTTATTAGTGGTAGAGAAAATAGTATTTTAAGCTGTACCATCAGGATTACTGAATACAAGTCTAAAGAGGTTATGCTTTCATTGTATAGGTCACATTTAGAGTACTGTGTTCAGGTTTGTGCTTTTTACCTTAGAGAGGACACTGAATTGTTGGAAAGGGTTCAAAGGAGGGCTACTAGGATGATACTTGAGATAGAAAGGTTGTCATATGAAGACAAGTAAAAATGTCTGAAAGTTTCTCTTGAAAAGGGAAGAGCTAAAGTGGATCTGATTAAAGTTTTTAAATTGTTAAGGGAATTGATAGTGTTGATGTATCATCTTTTTTCATACTTAGTGGTGGGAATTGTAGGACTAGGGAACACAAATATATATGTTGGCAGGGTAGGAGTCATCTTTAACTTAGTTTTATTTTATAACAAGTGTTTGAATGATAAATGCTGGTTTGAGAGGGTTTTTTTTTAAGTTTAGTGGCTGGGATGGCATAAATGGACTAACATATTCCTTGTTTTTCTTAAATTTCATGTATTTATATGTATATTAAACATATGTTCCAAATTATGACAGCCCGAATGCATTACTTTTCACTCTCTGTAATTAAGGCCAAATATTTGTCCATCTAACCAAATACCTCAACACCACTAGAAATACCCACAAGTTTGATGCAGTCAGAAAATTTCACTAATTTAGTAAATATGACCCTTGAAAGATTCCACTTGTTACTACAAGGGTCAAGCTTTATTAGATTCATTAATAACAACCTTTTACTTTTTATCCATTCCACAGTACAATTAAATAGCCTTTCCCCAACCTCTACTGATGTGATTTTGTTTAGTAATCTTGTGTGGCATCCAAGTACTCAAGTCCACATCCTTTCCTTCATCCAAGTACACCAAATTCACACCCTTTCCTTCATCCAGATAACAAGTAACATTCTCAAAATAAGATAACAGGTTAATAAGACAGAATTTCCCTTTGGTGAATCCATGATGGCTTTCACTTATGATATTTTACTAAATCATTTTATAATTCTTGTTTTATTAGAATATTTAGAATTTTCCCACTTTGTAAGTAGGACTAACTAGTCTATAATTTTCTCACATTGGAAGTAGGAATAACTAGTCTATAATTTTCCCACATTGGAAGTAGGAATAACTAGTCTATAATTTTCCCACATTGGAAGTAGGAATAACTAGTCTATAATTTTACCACATTGGAAGTAGGAATAACTAGTATATAATTTTACCACATTGGAAGTAGGAATAACTAGTCTATAATTTTACCACTTTGGAAGTAGGACTAACTAGTCTATAATTTTACCACATTGGAAGTAGGAATAACTAGTATATAATTTTACCACATTGGAAGTAGAACTAAGTAGT